GCTCACATATTTGTAAAATCTAAGTGACTCGTACAACATGTAATTCAGATAAAACGGAAAAATCAATGATCTTATAGGGGGGTCGACTGTATTAACATAGGCATATGCCACTTACAGTAATTGATTGCATGAATATCATAGTGTTCAGTAAGATATTGAAAGTTGAACTTTGACATCTAGTAGTACATAAAATATTATATTTTTTCAGATTTTCTAATAACATACTTTATCTGCATTTTAAACTGTATCATTTATTTTGAAAAAAATCCATTTCTAATTCTCAAACATTTTATTTCAGTGAGTATATCAATTGAGCCAATTTAGATATACTATATGATAAGTAAAACAACTTATAAGAATTTTCTAATCTTTTTATATATACATTACATGAAAATAATGTGTCTTAAAAAAGTTAAAACATATTGTTTATTATTACCTTTCTAAACAATCTATTAATGATGATGGCTCAGCATCTTCTTGTCCATCTCCAATTCCACATTCTAGTAATAAAATAAATTATAAGGAGTTTTTGATTTGAAATACAATATTTTTATGAATTATTATAAAATATTATTTATTAATATATTATTTCATCAGTAAAATATAAGGGGGAGGTCCATTGACTATGGTATGCTTGTTCAATATACAGCCTCTGTAGCCCTGACCAAGTTAATATTTATATATAATGAATATAGATATAGATGATAATATATTATATTGCATTGGTAGGCATTTTTATAGATGAAATACAGCTAAAAAAGATAAAAAAAAAAAGGTTTTGTTTTAGGAGTTGGAAATTGGCTGATCCATTTTACATTGTTTTTTTTTGGGAAAATTTGATTCGATTTGAGAATTTTTTCAGAACAAAAAAAAAAATTTGTTTCCAGACAACTTTTAGAAACAAATTAAGTTCATATAAAATGTAAAATAATATAAAATGAAAGATTTTAAATTTAAGTTTTTTATTCTCAGAAGAAAAAAGAAATTCTATTAACTAACATAATTTTTTTATTTATATTTATTACCTGATGTATTTTCAGTTGAACTTGAAGCTTGAAGATGAGTGTTTGGCCCAAGATCTAGTGAAATATCCCAAAATGGATCTATTGTTGTAGACACTGCTCTGTAATTATTAAGAAGTTAATCTTATTTTTAAAATATGACAAGCAAAAAATAATATGAAAAAGCATATTAAATTTATTTAAAGAGAATAATGAAGTAACAATATTTTTCTTTGAATAATACTCTGTATTTAACTATTATTTAAAAAAATATTTTTAGATTAGTCTCTAAATATCTATTAAAGGAAAATTTAGCAAAAGACACAAACTAAACTATGTAAGAAAGCAAAGTAGAGAATTTATTTGATTATTATTGATTAAATTTATTGACTCCCTTTAAACAATTACTCTAAACATTATTATTTTTTTATTCTTTCTTCTGGACAAATGGAAATCTACTATACAATTTTAAGAATTAAATAATATAAGCAATTAACAAGCCATAACTATAATATTAAAAAAGTGCACATTCATTTTATGAAGTATAATTCATTCAAAACTTAACATATTCCATACAAACAATGTCTCTGAGCATCCTACACTGCCTTGCTAAATATAGTGAAAATGCACATCCTCAAAGTTTGATTATTGTTAGGGGAAATTCTATCCTTTGTTTATAACAAAGTTTATTTTTATTGTTCACTGCACACTTCATTCAATATAGTTCATCCCTTTTATATTAATATTAATGCTATATATGGAGCTAAAGATTCCTTGTTTAGAAGTGCAGCAAACCCTAGAATGATGTCTGGCCAGTGGCTGTTTGGAATTTTGTCCAGTGTTTTCTTCTTGTTACTCAATTCATTACTTAATTTTGAAAATCGCTACTTTTTGCTGACTGTCTTTTTGTTTATCTTGTCATTTTAATAATTCTGATGAAGAATATAACTTCCAACTTACTAATTCCAACTTACAATTAGCCTTGACTAGTTTTATCGTCAACTTTTTGTTGACTGTCAAGGAATACCTCCTTTATTCTTACAAGAAATACCTTGTAAGAATATATAATTAATATATAAGTTGTAAATAGAACATGGAAGTTGTTTATTTTCAAATTAATACTACTCTCTATGCATCATGAATCCAGGCAGGCATTGAAATTTTTGTAAGGTTTTTATGAATACCTTAAGTATTTATTAATCTGCTGCATTAATGATATTCTATTTTATGATTTTAGTAACAAATTAAAAATATTCACTTATACAAAAAGTTTCATTAGTCAAAGAATAATTAGCGTTCTAAGTGAAATTCTTACTTGCAAGCTTGGCATATAACATCAGACTGAAGTCCTCCAGTAAATATTTGATCAATAATACAGTTACAATGATGAGGATTACTACTTGATAAACCATTGGTTCCTAAAATAATAAAATATTTATTTTAATATATTATACAATATAATTGCATCTAAAAATTGTATATCATATTTATTAATAGACATTGTTAATTTATTTTACTTTTAATTTTTTTTAATAACAAAAGTTAGATATTCCAGATTTTATTCTATAATTCACATATATTAATCATACAGAAATTTTGATCAACAATCAGAACAAATGCAGATGTTAATTGTTTTTAATTTCAAATCCATAAATTTCAGATTATGAAATATAAAAGTAATTATTTTATGTGCACTCATTATAATACAGAGTATTTTTGAATAGAAAAAACTTTTCTATGATTCATTATCAATTTGATTCTGTTCTTCCATCAAGTCAAATAAAAATCATCAATGTTACAACCAAACATGATTATAACACTTATATTCTAAGAAAAAGAAATGATAAATGTATGTCAATTTATAATCACTTAATAAATAATTATATTTATATTAGAAAACTAATAATTTTATTTTATTCTCAACATAGGTCAAGCTAATGTTTTGGAATTATTTCAAATATATTGGAATATACACATATAAGATTTAAACTTAAAATGATTAAACTTTGATATACATATTTGTTAATTTATTTAATACTAGCTTACCCGTCATGCATTGCTGCAATCTCAGAAGAAATGAAATTCAAGCAAACTCGTTATAATAAAATTCAATTTACATTTTATCATTTTTATTGAAACTTATTATTATAACTTTCAATAAAAATGATTTGCTTGAATTATTATTCATTTTCATCGGGAAAACATTTCAAAGTATCATTTCAATTCTATTTATTTATTGGAGTATTTTGTCTTTATTGTAATTTGTCTTTTTAAATTATTTTGAGTTGATATTAAAATTTGGAAAAGGGGATCCCTAGATCGGTAAAATAGGAGAATTTCCTCCTACAACTTTGGCTGTTGTTTAGGATACAGTTAAGGTTTTAACAAAGTTCGAGCAAATACATAATTAGCAAAAAATAGTTGAAATAAAGTGATTAAACAAAAATTATTACAAATATCATAAATAGTTCACAAATGCATATATAGAGTTTTTTTTTTGGAGGGGAAAATGGTCTTCACAATTTGAAATCAATTGAACTCACAATGAAATGTTCGTATACACTCGCGCCATCTATCGTAGGATAAATGTACTATGCCAGAAATCTTCGTGGGAGTATATTAAACAACTTCCCAAAGTTTCATGGCAATCGGATAAACAATGATAAGCAATCGGATAATGCATGAAGGACATACATTCATTTTTATATACAGTGGTACCTCAGGATACAAAATTAATCCGTTCCGAAACTGAGATCGTATCATGAAAATGTCGTAAGGTGGATCATCTTTTCTCATACGATTACATGTAAAACCAAATAATTCGTTCCAATGCGAAAAACATACTCAAATTAAAGCCAAGTAATACATTAAAAAAAATAACTGTAGTNAGTGTTCTAAGTGAAATTCTTACTTGCAAGCTTGGCATATAACATCAGACTGAAGTCCTCCAGTAAATATTTGATCAATAATACAGTTACAATGATGAGGATTACTACTTGATAAACCATTGGTTCCTAAAATAATAAAATATTTATTTTAATATATTATACAATATAATTGCATCTAAAAATTGTATATCATATTTATTAATAGACATTGTTAATTTATTTTACTTTTAATTTTTTTTAATAACAAAAGTTAGATATTCCAGATTTTATTCTATAATTCACATATATTAATCATACAGAAATTTTGATCAACAATCAGAACAAATGCAGATGTTAATTGTTTTTAATTTCAAATCCATAAATTTCAGATTATGAAATATAAAAGTAATTATTTTATGTGCACTCATTATAATACAGAGTATTTTTGAATAGAAAAAAACTTTTCTATGATTCATTATCAATTTGATTCTGTTCTTCCATCAAGTCAAATAAAAATCATCAATGTTACAACCAAACATGATTATAACACTTATATTCTAAGAAAAAGAAATGATAAATGTATGTCAATTTATAATCACTTAATAAATAATTATATTTATATTAGAAAACTAATAATTTTATTTTATTCTCAACATAGGTCAAGCTAATGTTTTGGAATTATTTCAAATATATTGGAATATACACATATAAGATTTAAACTTAAAATGATTAAACTTTGATATACATATTTGTTAATTTATTTAATACTAGCTTACCCGTCATGCATTGCTGCAATCTCAGAAGAAATGAAATTCAAGCAAACTCGTTATAATAAAATTCAATTTACATTTTATCATTTTTATTGAAACTTATTATTATAACTTTCAATAAAAATGATTTGCTTGAATTATTATTCATTTTCATCGGGAAAACATTTCAAAGTATCATTTCAATTCTATTTATTTATTGGAGTATTTTGTCTTTATTGTAATTTGTCTTTTTAAATTATTTTGAGTTGATATTAAAATTTGGAAAAGGGGATCCCTAGATCGGTAAAATAGGAGAATTTCCTCCTACAACTTTGGCTGTTGTTTAGGATACAGTTAAGGTTTTAACAAAGTTTGAGCGAATACATAATTAGCAAAAAATAGTTGAAATAAAGTGATTAAACAAAAATTATTACAAATATCGTAAATAACAGTTCACAAATGCATATATAGAGATATTTTTTGAAGGGGGGACATGGTCTTCACAATTTGAAATCGATCGAACACACAGTGCTTGANTTTGGTGTGTAGCATCCACAAGCTAAACCATGTGAGGTTGGTGCTCTGTAAAGTGCAGCGCGAATCTAGCTGATTTACATGATTCAGATATTTTCACTATAAAAGCTATCCTGTATTTGACAATATGGTGCTTCCATTGGAAATATGCATATACAAATTTATATTTGAATATACAATAGCAATCTTATCATTGTTTTTCATATGCAGTATAGAAATTCGTAATAAGATACATAATGCAGTTATAATAAAATATTAATTTTAATTAATTCAAAGTACAAATATGAAAATAATTGTACAATATGTATTTATATTTTAGAAAATACAAGGGAAGCGGTGGTGCTTCCACAGCTTCCATGGATGGCACGCCACTGCTATTAACATTTTATTAAATTGCATTTAACTTTTTTATGTCATAAAATATTAATTTAAAATACCTTTACAATGCCGATGCAATACATCTAATGTAGCTATAAAAAATTCATGAGCATCTTGTTGTTCATAACCAGCTAGATGCCTGGCATGTGTCCATACAAGATGGAGTAATCGGTATGGAATGTGAGGAGTGCTTTTCCCTGAATAAAACTATAAAAAATTTATCTAAAAAATATATCAATAAAAATACATATTTATCTGAAAATACATACTATACATATAACCAAAATTATTATATCTGAAAAATATTTATATTGAAAAAGTTATTATAATAATTTAAACTAATGATTTCTATTAGAAGTAAATACAGTAAAATTTCACTTTGTTGCCACCTTATTTAAGTAGCCATGATAAGTGTCATGAAATGACATTTATCTCCATTTATGTGGTCAATAGAACAGGAAAATCCTGCATTTCTAAACTAAACATATTGTAAAGTGCTTTAACACTAAACAAAACTGAACTTTGCTGCTATAGTTTTAGAATGGTTTGATGAGATATCCTCTAATAGATGGCATTCAAATAAAATAAAATTATTTACACTAGACAAATTAAATTAATCTTCAGAATTTAGTAAGAAGAAAACAATTATATATTTGTTCAATAATTTTATACAAAATCTGATCACATTTTGTAAAAATATAACTATTGTAAATCAATGATGGTCTATGTCATGGATAAGTCACTTGCAACAGTCAACAAAGTTGATACGTCTGATGTAAAAGCCAATTTTATTAACTTGGACATTTTTATGTATTTATTGACTTCTGTTTAAATTTTTTTTTTTCTGAATTCTCCTGTTAAAATACAAAATTTAATGAAAACCTTTACTACAATTTCATAAACAAATTGATTCCATTAGAGTACTGATTCTGTCTATGAGTAGTAAACAGTTGAACTGTACAATACTTGAATGAACTCTACTGCAAACAGTTTGCAGTAGAGTTCTACAGTTTCACTCTACATACGTCCTGTTTCAGTACTCGGTATAACAAAGAATGACAGTGTGATCATAATTAAAGATAAGATATTCAGAGCTCTTTGTTGGAAAAACTATTGGGCAAATTTCAATCAAATTTCAAATATACAGGGTGATTCAAAAGTCACAGAAATTTTTAAAAATTTATAACTCACAAACTATTTACAGTAAGATGATGCAGTTTTCACAGATATGATAAAAAAAATCAGGATTTTTTTAGATGTAATAAAAATTTTAGTATCAAAATAGTTACATTTTTTGACATAGATGGTGCTGTAGTATTTGTAAATTTGTTAAAATAAGAATAAAATAATAAAAATGTTCTTAGTGTAAGCTCTAATAACAATTACACAAATTATGTAATCTTATCAAGTGCCATCTATGGCAAAAAATGTAACTATTTTGGTATTAAAATTTTTAATACACATAAAAAAAATCCCACTTCTTTCTAAGCATTTCTGTGAAAACTGCATCATCTTACTGTAAGTAGATTGTGAGTTATTAATTATTTAACATTTCTGTGACTTTTGAAATATCCTATATATTATATATACATACATACATACACAGTAGAGCATCGATTATCCGAATGTCGATCAACTAAAACGTCAATTAACCAAAAGCTTTCCAGTTGGCAAATTTAAATTTCCGCTAGTGCTGTGGCACTGCAATCTTTGGCTATGTTTTGGGCTACCCCAATATTATTTTTGTTGGTGTGCGTGTTTTAGCTGGCAGCACTAGTGTGACTATGAAAGGATACTTAAGTATGTGCCAGGATTTGAACAAATTTCAACATGGGATAAGTTAATATATTTTTTTGTACATAATCAGTAATCTGACAAATCGATTTACTGAACAACCCCAATCGATTCGGATAATCAATGTTCTACTGTATACATATAGTCCTGAATATCTGATTGTTAGGTTAAAATTTGGCACTGCTATCCCCTTAATGTGCATATTAAATGTTTTCTCAATGAATTTTTGGCATATAAAGGTGTGGGGGCCGAGGGGGGGGAGAAATTTAAAAACTTTCGACAAACGATAATATGTGATATGTATCGTCATCGTCTCCCTTGCCGTTTGGATTGCCGAGCGGTAACAATCAACGACATGTGGAAGCAGTAGAGTCAGAGATAGATGCTTCGTTTACAAACAACACAACCGTTTATTAAACACGAAAGAAGCTTACAAGATGTCCGCGATCTTGGAAGTTCTGCGGCGGTTGCGGCCTCTGGGTCTTCCTCTCCTTTCCAAGATAGTCCCATTTTGAAGGAGTGTCCCTTGTTCGCGAATGAACCATTCCATCACGTCTCGACGACTCCGGGACGATGCGGTCGACTTCCGTTGATGGAAAGATGTCGATCCGAGGTCGGGAGATGGAGACGAAGATGGGTGCGAGACACACACACAACAACAGATCCGTCACTTGGAACTTTCGGGAGAAGAAGCCGTCGCGTCCTCGAATTTCCGGGGTTTTATCTGTTTTCTTTCAGATTCCCCTTTCCGATTGGTCTCCCGTCGTCACCTGATGACAATTCGAAACCTTTCGGGGACGCGGGAGAGGTCAAAATTGAAGTTTAATTCGATCTCCAACCGGAAATGGTCTACGGACTTACTTTCTTCTATTGTTTAAAAGTCTTCTATTGTCTAGCGTTGCGTTTTCATAAAATAAAAAGCTATTTCTAACTAATATATTATTTTCTCTAAAACCATTATTTTCCGCGAATTTTAGCGAGGGTTCGGACCTGTCCAGAGCCTCACAGAGCTCCCCGCCATTTTAAAATGTCGTAACGCAATAACGACATTTTAGCTGGCAGCTCTGGAAGCTGTCAGTCCCTTCTCCCTTTGTTTGCCAAGTGAGGTAACAGTGACACTTGCCTGAGAACTATTTTTCTCTGGCACGCGTTCGGTTTCGTGTTACAACAAAGTTCTTTTTTCGATACATTGTTTCAGAGGTATAGAAATCGTTTACAATTCATCCAAATGTTCGCGTAACATCACATGTCTGTTTATAAGATTGATTACAAATCACAGTCATCGAATAACATCTTAACAACTTAAAAGCTCGACAAATATTTTCTAAAACTTGTTTTTTTTTCGTTTTTAGACTGAGCAAGTCACATAATTTGTAAATAATTCATAAAATTCTATTAAAGCCTAAAAGAGGGACAACATTTTATCTGTCACACTTAGAAAATGTGCATAAAAGTTTCCTTAGGAGCCGTCACTTCCGATACATGGAGTGTTGACCTAACTTCGAGTTACGTACTTTTCTTGCTGGCTCTATCTCCTTGTTCAAAATTCCAGGGAAAATTTGCTGAAGTATTTTTCTGATTTTTGAATCAACTCGATATCTGAGTGTCGGTTCTTCGAACAAGTAACAACTGTGTCATCTCTTGGATGCAGTCAGTCGCAAATCAAGGTCACTGTTCTAAGTCTACAATTCCCAGAATCGATTGGTTGATTGAAAATTAATTCGGAATTTGGAAGTGATTTCGGACTGTTATCAATTGAACAAGTGACAGTTTTCTGTCATTGGTTTTCTTCCAAAGCAGATTACTGCAAATCAAGGTCCTCATTCAACTTCGTGTTCCGTTTTACTTCCGTTCTATACTCCGTTTTACAATGGTGCATTTAAGCCAGTTTTTGGTTGTGACTGATATAATTACTTTTTCATATAAATTTTGAGATGAGGGAAATTCTCCTAAAATTTGAATCATATGAATTACTCTATCTTTAACGAATGTTCGTCACAGGAAAACTCGATCGCGACAATTCTGTTTTTCTTTCAAAACGCGAGTTTTCTTACCATAACAAAATAACTGTTTCAATAATACGAGTACAAGCAATATTCTGTAATGAATTACAATCAAAATTTTCGTTTAACCACAATCGGACCACATGTTTCTTCATGATGATCATATCATGTGGGAACTTTTTCTGGGAAATACCATTGACAAATTCCAATTCGCGACAAACATATATCCTGTCGATTAATGCAGGTTCAAACCAAATTACATATTTACTTCTAAACAAAATTTTCACCGAAGAACACATTGTTCCGTCATTATTATCGGATTGTATCATTCGTTATCTACAATCACGTAACATTGACATTATCAATTAACGACAAATAATTTGTATTGTTTTTCTTATTCCGAAACATTTTCATTTAAGGTGACCTCTGTCCTCTTTAAAAAGAGAGAAAGAGCTCTCCTTTTACAGTTTATACTTTATTTGATCCGAGTTGGCAGCAATAATATGTTTCGACCTTTGGTTTGGGGAAATGATGTAGTTACGTTGTAAACAGTGTCATCTTAGGTTCTGTCTTCCAAAGGGAACCTTATGCTACTACTCTTTGGACTTTATGATATTTTTTTGTTCTAACTTTCCTTTTTTTTTCACTCGCGCGCAATTATATACCTCTTATAATTTAAAAGATCGCGTTTCGTCGCGCTGCATTATTAAATTTTAAAGTCGTTTGCGTTCTCCTTTTTCTGTTAATCTCGCAGAAGGATGCAAAATTTTCGCTCCTACCAACACCAAAAAGTGATTTCATGCGGATTATTTGAGTTTTAATGCGCGTTTCTACTTTCCTATTTCCACAAAATATTACAGCTACTCTATAATTCATTCTGGCTATTTCTACAAAGTCTTCTATTCATTTCTTCTAATTAAAATATTCGTTCGCTCGCTTTTAAAACGTATCAGACTCACAGAAGAGTGCAAAGAAGTGATTCTCTGCTTCCTCATATTGATCCTCATAAGCAAGTGTTTCGGGCCGATTATAACTTTTTTTTTCTACATCGCATAATCCTTTTTCTGGATGTACAGAATTTATTCCATATTTCTATTAGTCCGTCTATTTTTACGGATTATTTAATATATTTTCTACAATTATCTTATCATTTTTTTCTCAAATTCTTATATAATTCTACTTATTCTAATTTTTGCAAATTCGCATATATATTTTTCTATAAACTATTCTATTCGTATAAGTTTATATGTATCTCTACTATTTTGCAATAGATCGCTTTGGCTGAACAATTGTTTGCTTAACTAAATTGCCTAAACAAAGCTGAGAACTCGATTAGATAATTGATTATCCTAATCTGCCATTCTCCTGCCGCAAATTAAAACTACGCGTGTAAATTTTTTTTTTTTTTAC